GGTTCCAGTCCTGCATATCTGAATCATCCATCCATCGACTGATACGGTCAACTCGTGCCCAGGTGTACATGATCTATCTCCCCACTCTTGGCGAATGCCCCTCTTCATACCGCAAACATATGCCAACCAGACTACGATACCAGATCAGATAGCCATCCAGCCAGCCATCCAGCCCGGCTTAGATTCAGGAGCTCTTTATGAAGGAGGGAGAGCAACAACAACAACAACAACAACAACAACAACAACCTACAAACTTAACTACATCGTTTTATCAATATTCATTCACCTTCCCTAAAGTTCCTTACAAACACGCACCCTTTAAAATACATTCATTATTATTCAAATCTTCCCGCGCGTTATCCTGAATTCTGATCATTCAGGAAGCCCGGGAAACTATCAAGTGTTAGACATCCGAAACACCCCACGACCTCATTATCGTGTCAACCTCGATCAAGCCCGAGTCCTAGATTATACACACTACATCTACATTACATCAACTATAGAAACTCGCGCAAGTCTCTTTCGTAGGACTTTATAACCATTTGAATGCCCACCTCATTCGACAACGAAATCAACAGCAATTCGGGCGGAACATCACAATCAAGCAAACCTGGCAAAGGCGCTTCAGCTGGAGTGCAAATTCCCGCCAAGAACAGCAGAAAGAATGGGTCGGCGAGGGATGGCGGCGGTGGTTCTGGAGGAATTATGGCGGCGGTGACGAAGAATAATGCTGCGAAATCGTGGGTTTCTTAGTCCAGAAGGGCTCTCCTGAACATACACGATTGCTAACTTGCCAACTCATCCAGTAAGAACAAATCACCTGTGGTGACTCCTCCAACTCCATCTCCGGAGACGAAGCCAGTTGTTTCCATACAAGATGAAAGTTCGGTGACATCACCTATGTTGGAGGCACTATCGTCGACCTCCCAGGGTTCTTCTGTCACGCACAATACAAATGAATGGGCTAAGGATATTCCAGCGTTTTCCAGTTCTCCGAATAACCTTATAAGTCTCGGTGAATCGCCGCCTACTCTACCATCTTCATACGAAGACAAGATCACGAACTACGGCTATCCGGCGAGAGAACCAAAGGGGTCTCCCAATAATCACATTCCCTTATCTTCCTCGCCAATAAGTGCAGCAGGCCGTAGAAGACCTATGAGTTACCAAATGGATGGAAACATTCAGTACAGTCCTGAAGAATATCACTCCGCTCTGGCTTATGCAGCCCGCCGAACCTCGAGCTATTCACAACAATCACAGGCGATGCGATATAATCCTTATCCGCCACTCCCACATCAACCTCAAGCCCACTTTCATGGAGCGCCTGATACCAATCTCATGTTGTCACCAAGAACTTCGGGTCTGGTACCTGGTGAGAAAGGATTTTTTTGTGGATTTGATACCCATCCTGCTCAGGATACAAACAAACCTCCAAACAGCGTGATTGTCACCGGATTTGAGGGTGGGCTTAGTATTCATAATGTTACCAAGAGAGGTCTCAGTAAAATTCTTACTTTAGATGGTTTGAGGGGCGGGGTATACAATGCCAAGATCCTTCCGTGGACTGCTTCATCGGAATTTGCTTTCCAATATCCCTTGATAGCAGTTGTTGTACACGGCCCTGTTCGAACAATCAGTGACAGCTCCAGCGCCGAATACACAGCGTCTCCAGAAAGTCCCCCCGCTCCAGTTGACGACGAGGGTCCAGGCTCCCCAAGACTACCAACCCGCTCCGTCAACGGTGACAACGATGATGACTTGATAGATTACTTTGAAACAACCGTGGAAATATATTCCTTGAGCACAAAGAGACATATTGCCACCCTACTATCTACCCCGAAAATACACGTGCCAATACCTCCATCAAGCCCATTGTTTACAGCACCGGCCCCTATCGGTTCTTTAACGATTCGGGCGGATCGGGGTAATGTTATCGTAGCTTCCGGAATTACAGGCGAAACATGGATCTTTCGACAGCGGGATAGTAGTGAGAAAGTGGAGTTCAGGTGTATTGGGAAGGTATGGACAACCGTTCAGCATGGTCTTTCCGTAGATCCCGCTGTATTCAACAATTTTGCTGAAGGTGGACGCCAAGCTGAGGCTAGCCCACGATCTCAATACAAAGCCTCAATACTATCCTTAAATGGACGTTGGCTAGCTTATTGTCCATCAGCAGCGACTTCTCAAGTCTCACTCCGTGCTACTATCCCAGAAAACGTTGCAACAGGGCGCATCCCTGGCCTGAATTCACAAGCTCCACCTCATCTGCCTGCGGTAAACTGTCTAGTGGATACTCCTGGTGGTGAAGGAGTGTTAAAACAAGTTCTTCAAGCGGCAACACAAGGAATTGTTGAAATCTCAGGCTATGTTGGCAAACAAGGTGCTCAGTATTGGAACAATTATTGGAACAAATCTACACCCCAGCAAATGAACAATGGGAACGGGTATCCAGCCCTCCAGAATATTTCGCCTCAATTCCCTCCTACCCATGGAATCAATAGCCAAGCGAGCACCGCAAACAAGGATCCTGGTCTGATATCAATTCTAGACCTGGACTCGCTCGCCCAACAAACCTCGGGATCTTCGATTCACCCTTTGGCCACTTTCCCCGTGCCTCATGGATGTAGTTTCTTGTCGCTTGCGCCCAGCGGTCTCGCGTTATTCACGGCTAGTAGTAAAGGCGATGTTCAGTTTGTCTGGGATCTTATGCGATTGCACTACTCAAGGTCATCTCTCCTGAAAGGGGCGAGCTCCCAAAGCGGAGGTCTACATGGGCCACACGTACGACAAATTGCACAATTCTCGCGCATGACTATTGCAAGAATTGTTGACGTCGTATGGACTGCACCGCACGGTGAGCGTGCTGCGATGGTTACTGAGCCTGGAACGGTTCACATCCTCGATCTTCCAGCTAGTGCTTTTACCTGGCCTCCACCACGACGACGCATCCACTCCGGAAGCTCTGAGCAGGTGAACCCTGATGCCAATAGTGCTGCGCTTTCTGCTGTTGGGGTGGCCTCAAGTGCTGTGTCGTCATTATGGACCGTAGCTCGACCTCTGGTAGGTTCTCGCAGGCGTCAAAGTAGTGTCGGCATTCCAGGCATCACTGCCGCAAGCGTGAAGTCGCAAGCAGGACAAGGAACACAGGCATTGGCCGCTGGAATTAGCCGTTCTGTGGGCGCCGCAACTGGTAAAATGAACGAAATGCGAAAATCAGGTGGAACAAAATTGCATCTGCCTAAGAGCAGAAACATTCCAAACCCAAACTGCGTCAGATTCTTCAACGGGAAACATGGTGATTCGATCACCGTAGTTGGTGGGGGCATCATACGAATCTACACAGTGAAAGGCAGGAGGGCAGATCGTCCAGCGGATAAGCAAAAAGCATCTAGGGGTGCCAAGTACGTCGAGTATCAAGTACCTTCTCTACCCGATACCAGGATAGCACCGGGACCAGTACCCGACGATGTTCTTGAAACGTTGACCAGAGATGCAGGAGAGAATTGGAAAGTCAGACAAGTATCAACTCGGGTATCACCCCTATCTGGAGCTGAATCCTCAATACCTCAAGCAGAGATTGAGTCGAATGCTCCATATCAACCATTTCATACAGATCGACGAGTTAGCCTCCACAATTATTCTCATGGGAAGACTAAATCGTCTTCTTCAACGTCTACAAGTGATTCGTCTGACAATGTTATGGCTGATTCATCCAAAAAAGCGTGGGCATTTGGTGGTCCTATAAGAAGTGTGAGACTAGATGTCGGTCCACCTCAACTTACGGAGGACGATTACCAAGCTTCTTCTTACCATCGAGCTCTCCCCTCCTCCGCCATTGAGCGTGTGATGAGGGTTGCAGACAGTAATCACGAGGATATGGAGCAGATTGTGGTCACTACTCGAAGGCGCAAGGGTGCTAGTTCTAACGGTGCCCCAAGGCCAGGTGATGAGGATGAGGAAGGCTTCTTTGAAGATGATTGCGAGGTCCTGGATTTTGCTAGCCAGCGGGTCTGATCGATTATAGATTCTTCTGCCGGATCTGTTCCCACTTCGTAGCAATTGCATTCAACACAACGATTAGCTGAGAAGGAGTCTGGTCCATGACTACACAGTTATAAACGATTGTTCGCCTTTTGATTTCGATACAAGGTCATAGGACCTTCAAGGGCTTCTTTGTATTGCATCTCATCAATCTTACCATGGTTGAATATCTCTAGGGGAGTCTGCGGTGAGCACTTATGCATAGCTTAGGTTTAATGGCGTTTTTGGTTAAGGACATACAAGTCTTTGGGCTGGGTGAGTAGAGGCTGGGGTACCGGTGATATGGAATAGCTGGGATTATACAGAATGGCCTGATATGCTTTTGTGAGATACCATAAACAAGAATACAACAATTAATTTTACCAATTGGCAATGACATCTCACTGCACATCATTAATTCCTTGTGAACGTAAGCATCATTCCAATCTTTTGATTCTGTATTCGAAGTTCCAACCCAAGTTGACGACTTGATACACTTTTTGGTGGTAATTGAAGTATCACGGAGATAATTTGTACAGCATGTTAAAATCCACTTGGGCTCTGGTATGAATGTAATAAGTCTCAAGATTTGAATGAAACCTATACTAACTATCGTGCCATTGGCCTACTTGAAGGGTACACGTGTAGGAAGTAAATCGCGCATGCGTGATACATCACGAATTTGTGGGCACAAGTTCCATAGTCCAGTTCTCATACCTTCGGTCACCTTTCGGGGGATCCCAGCGGCTATTAGATCGCAAGAAAAACGATGATTTGAGTTGAGGGCACGAGGCTGTTCTCCATATCGTGACTACCGGGCAAAGATGCAATGGTCTTTTTCGGATCACATCAATTGTGCTTAGGAGGTTGGTGTCATATTTGAGAATAACCTGATGCCATGTCTGGAGTTCCGTCAACTATGAATGGACCCTCTGTAAAGCCTTGAGAATAGAATAAGGTCCTTAACACACGATACCCTACATGAATCGCCATACTGCTCCTGCGACCGGGGTATTATTATCGTCCTCCATGCTCCCGTTTACACTCTTAATCCATTCCTGTTCTAATGCCACCGCATCTGATTCTATTTGCGCCATGGCCTCCAACTCTAGAAGCATACCACCCACCAAGGCCCTGAGCCCGCCCACCACACTTGCCATTGTAGACTCCTTTTCTAGCCACCCGAGATCTTGCAAAGCATCTCGCCATCCTTCGAGTTTCCTGTTTAAAACCAAGCATTCGTCTTTCCACGCCAGGTCTAGTTCCTCGATGAACACTATTTCCTCTTCCTCGTCCAACATCTGATCGTGATCTCTATCCCTCAAAATTTCTTCACATCTGTTAACCCACTTCTCGAATTTTCTCACGAGCCTCGCATATTTTCCTCCAGGCTCGCCTAGATTCCAAGCTTCGTTGAGCACTTCATCGAGTAGTTGTATCTTCTCCTCCAAACCCCACCCAGGAGTTCCTACATCTTGCCATTCTTTAAAAGCAGCCGCATTGACTCTTCCAGCTTCCTCTACCTCCAGGCGAAGTAACTCATCATGTCTCTTTACCACCGATTGAAATTTTGCCCCAAGCTTCTTCTTCGCACTCGCTTTCCATTGTCTGCTTACTAACTCTGCATCCCGATGCAACAAGTGCAATTGTAATAATTCATTCTGGAGCTTTGCGGTTTCCGCAGTGATTGCAATGTTCGCAGGAAGCTTGCTGGGAGTCGGGGCGGCGAGGAAGGACGCAGGATGCGGCTTGGAACCAACGTTCTTTGCGGGTGAAAAGTGCTGTTGGAGAGTTGAGAATGCAGGTTTGCGAATGGATGAATCTCCGTATAGGGATTGTGGACGTGCTCTCACTGGGGCATCTTGTGGTTGCGCTCTCTGCGAGGTTTGACTCGGTGGGCGAGATCTCTGCGACGTTTGACTGGGTGGGCGGAGGACAGTGGAGGAATTGTTTGGTATTGTCGATGAAGAATTTGTACGTAGATGGGTCGGTCGTGTAGTAGCAGACGTGATCGACGAGGTACGTATGTGCCGATTTGTAGAAGTGAGGGGTGGTCTTGAACGGTCTTTTACGGGTTCGGACGTCGCAGCAGATGAATTTCGAACAGACGTTGATCGAGCCTGACTACCCGTCGTAGTAGGAGGTTTGGTCACAGTTGTCCGGGTAGATGGGGGACGTATAGAAGCATTGTTGGTACCAATGGAACTCGTAGTCGATGGTCGTGTAGATGTGGGCGTGCTGGATGCGGTTGATATGGTTGTTCTTCGTGGTTTGATGGGCAAACGACTGGGTGAAGCTATATTTTCGGGAGCTGCGGCCACTGATGGTTTGATATCGGGACGACTTAGATTAGTAATTCTCTCTGAAGGTTTACGAATTGATCTTGTCCTTGACGGTATTGTCGACATGATTTGTTTGTTGAAAGTTATGTTAATGTATGAATTGGATATTCAATTGTTTGTTAATGGTTAGTTAGCGGACATGTTATTTAAATATTGACATCCTAGCGATATTTTTATTGATTGATACTCGAGTACAGCAAGACAACGCAGAAAGCGATGCAGCATTGCAGCATTGCATGGGGAACAGAATCACTTGAAGTTGCGGTAAGTTACGAAGCTACGAGGTTGCTACGGGTACATCAGCTATTGGCAAGTGGTGAATGGTATTGATCCAGTACGAGTCAATTGTACTTATGAGTTGTATTCCTCTTTATATCTGATGTTGTATATGTTGTCTAGGTGTGAGACGGTAGCATCTTCACGAGTTTATCAATCAGATAAAAGTTATGTCGTGTCCTTGCGTTTCTGTTAGAAGAGACTCGCAGTGACTATCTAGGGTACGGGGATTCGTGGTACCTTACACCATTGATCGAGGTACATACATTATCGCAATCAAGGGGCCGCAATCAATTATGCAGCAAATCAATCAGATAGAAGTACAGCAAATCCATCGTCAACTCAGCCAATTGAAATTGAGTAAGAGTGATCGATTCAGTAACGACGACGGGGATGAAGTGAGCCAGACAAGCAATACATAGGAGGGCAAGAGTATGTAGCTACCTAGGTCCTGAGAGAGAGGAATACGATATAATTGAGAAAAACATGATATATTTGATACTCATTTCTTGGGTACATTGATAGGTTCAAAGTCTTGATGATCCATTTACCCAAGTAATATCAACCTTACGATGATGATCTTCCGGCAACTACATGTATATAGTCTAGATATGTGTACCTACCATGTGGATAGAATATATGTGTAGATATAACTACTTCTCTAAGCTCAATACGAGGTCTCGAAAGCATTTCCGTCACCACATCACATCAACACCACGACATGGTATACGCATACGTCGAAATTGTCTTTCCCAGGTTCATTGCAATCTCATATCCTATCTATTCATCTGCCGGCACCTACGACCATCATCATGGCCATCATCCTCATACACACCTGAAGTTTGACTTTGGGAAATACCCCCGCCGTCTACGCACGACTCTTGAAATTCTAAGTATAGATTGAAAAGAAAAGAGTGGAATAGAAATGGAACCCCCTTGACCTTCTCCCTCCATCCTCGCCTCCCTACCTTCTGCCATAACAAAGCATAATATATCCAGCAGCATGAAATATGCTCAAAAACGCCTCGTCTGAAATTTGAGGTAGGTATTCATACAATCCTACATCCCATGTTCTGTACATGATGGGATGAATCTGATTTAAATAAAATACGGCTTCCCTTTCATGGCATCGGTCTTTTTCCCTCTTTTTTTCCTGTATAAATTTCCTTCTAGAACTCCTCTTTGGTTTCAATTTCATCATCGTCAATATCCAAATCCATGCGTTCTTTAGTCAAAACAAATGCATGAACTTATTGCAAGATATCTAGTTCATACATGCCCTTGCGAAGTTCCCTTTTCATCGTTCCGTCGTTTGACCATTTCAAGGGATCCCGGTTGGCGACCTTGTTTTATATCACACCCAGAGTACCAAAATAAGTCGAATAACTGTGATTTTGATGTGCTTTCTTTCTGTCTTTCTTTGTTTTTCTCTTATTGCTACAACTCTCATTCACTTTGTTACATTGAAGAATCAATTATCACTTGGACAATCGCCATTTTCTTTTTAAAAAGTTAAAGTCGAGAGACTTGAAACAAGATGGATACAGCAGTCAAATCGCCCTATCGAGAGCCCGTATTGAAATACACGAAGGCGCTTCCCAGTACGCCAGTAGAACTGAAAGAATCTCAACAAACAATCATGTCAAAAACCTTGCCTTCTTTGCCAGAGAGGAAAAGCTCAAGGGCAATGTCAATTCCACGTCGAGCCGTTGGGAGTACTCCAATTCCGTCAAAAAAGTCTTCCATTGCAAGCATATCATCTTCGGGTTACTCTGACTCTGTCCTTTCTCGAACCTTGTCCGGGGGTAGCAACTTTACCAAAGATTCACTCAGCTATACCGAATCGGAGTTTCGAAAAACTCCCCCGATACCAGAGCAGGATGAACGGAATCGGACATCTCCTACGACACCCAGAAATGAAATGGGAAGCCCAGATTCTTTATCGAGTTTGACATCTTCTCCAACGCAAGAAATTTGGAGGAGAAGATCGTTGGTAACTCAGAAAGGAATTGAGTTTCCTGATTTGAAACTCGTAAAGAGTAACGGCTCAACGGCAAGTCCTCCTTCCAGAAACGGCAACTCAGCACTCGATCGTTCCTTGCCCAAACTACCTAGTCAGGTTCTCCGATATAGAGAGCTTTTTGATCGAGAACGAGGCCTCATACCTGCTCGTGAAGCGCCGCAAGCACCAGCAGTACCGTCGATGGGCGCAAAGATTTCGAAGCTGAAAGATATCAGCAAACGAAAAGGCACAGATCAGTCTCATGAACTCGGTGGACATGGCGACCTTAACACCGACCAGTCTGAATATCTTGGAGAAGGACATACGTCACAGTCGACAGACGCACCATACTCGCCCCATGGAGGTCTGCCAACACCAGAATATTTAAGATCGGATGAAGATCAAAGTCAACCATCTACACCACAAGTGTATTCACCGACTACACCACCCAGCGATTTACCATCCGCAACCCAAGTGCCAATCAAATCGGATGCTACTCACGCACACGATATTTCCGTTGCAACAGTGAACGACCAATCAATTCTACAACGATCTCCACTCGTACCTAATCTTCTTCACGGTAACCACTCTCGAAGTCCCTCTGAGACTTTAACCATCACATCTCCCCTGGATGTCGTCCGATCACCGCAACCCCAAAAGCCACATGCCACCAAAACTATCCTCACACCTCAACCCTCACCTCCAGCTGAATCGGCAACCTTCTCGCCATCCATTGCATCCACGACTCCAACTGTCACGACAAATCCACATTCCCGTCAGACTTCTCGAACTACTACATCTCGTGCAACGTCTCTCTCTTACTCTTATTTCCCTCTATCACCTTCCTCACTTCCCGCTCCTGGAACAATTCTACCAGCTCCTCCCATTACATCACAACATATTGATTGCTTTCAAAGTCACAGATTTATGCGGCGATCACGAAATAATATATGTCCACTCCAATGCCAAACTTGCTCGAAGGGAGACTTTGAACAACAATGGAAATGTACATGGTGCTGTTTGAGGGTGTGTTCTGACTGCATGGCTGTTTTGGCAACAGTACGAAAAGACCTAGGAGCTTTCTTGAAATTGATTGGAAAAGATACACCAAATGAATCTGATGACAAGAGAATAATGGTCGGGAAAGATGTTGGTGAGAGGAGTGAAAATGTGAACCAGGAGAACGAGAATCATCAAGTGGGGGTTGAAGCGTGAGAGAACTTAACTGTCATACCATGGGATATATACATCTTTGCTGGGGAGTTTTGAAGGTGAAAATATCATGGGATTTCAAGATTCAAGGCGGTCTTTATGCATCAATTTCAATTGTTTCATTGCGCGTAGTATTCGCAACGGTCCGCTTGGACGTATCCTCGGAACTGATCTTGCATATACACATGCAATTTGATGGGCGATCGCAGTTATAGCAAGAAGTTGAGCTTCTATTGGGATAAACATGACTAGCTTTTGTGTACATGGCTAGTCATTGATGAATGTATTTAGTATATTAGTGATACTCAGCGAAAATTATCTTGTTATTGTACATTGGATCGATCAAGGGATGATGTGTTAGCATCAAGTCGAAGTGCGTAGTCGATCTAACCATCTACTTGTATTTTGATCATATGATATCCAACTCCCAAGAGAGTAGCCTTAATCGCTCCAAAGCCCTTCGGATGGCGCCGGTTTCACATATGGGTTGTGAGTTATTATGCCGTGGTAAAATAAGATGTCTGCTAGCCTACGGTTGTGGCCATGCTTCTTCTCTTTGTGCTGATTAACCAATTGATAATAGTAAGAAGCAATCCCGAGATGGCAACAGATGAGGAATACATATCACGTCGAAGTCTTTAGCGAGCTTTCGGGAGCCTTATCGTATTTACACGGCTGACTAAGCTAGCAAACCCTTAAATGACTCATTTTGACTAACCTTGGTTTTCGCCCATCTTTGATGAGTCGAAACCCACCTTACTCGAATAGGACAATCCTACTCCCATTTGTGTGATGGTTTGGAATTCAGCATATGATTGTCGGGTTCGCATTCAAAAGGTTCAAGTATATAAGAAACAGTAAGTCCTCATTCGTAAACTTCTCGAGAATCCACACTAGATTATATTGTCTACAACAACAGAAGCACTTTACAATACCTATTTACTTCTTCACATCGCATGTCTTCCTTCGTCCTACGGCTTTATGGTTCCAAGTCAAACATCCGTAAACACAGTACACCACTATAACATGTGTTCTTCTATCTCGGATCTTTATACTCGCCCTGAAGGGGTGCATGTCATTCCAAAAGAATCTCTCGACTTACGACCGGATTCGGAGATCGATTATGATCTTTTGCACCCCAAGTCAATTTCAAGTGAAAAGAACATTTGGTTCTTCTGGCATAGTGGTTTTTCTAACATGCATCATTATACCCAACGAAATGTTCGCACCTGGCACCGGAGGTTTTCAAAACAAGGTTGGACTGTCCGTGTAATCGATCGACAGCCATCTTCACCTTTAAATGTCGCGAACTTTTTGGACATAAGCGATCTGGGTACCTTCCCTAGTGCTTTCATTGATGGTACTATTGGGGGCGACCACAGCCCTCAACACACATCCGATCTGGTCCGATTTCCCCTCCTCCTGAAGTATGGTGGTGTGTATGCGGATGTGGGGATGATGCAAATCGGTGATCTAGACCGTATGTGGCGGGAGACCATTGATAACAATGCTTCGCCATTTGAGCTTTTGTCGTATAATGCAGGAACTGTTGATGAGCGTTGTCTCACGAATTACTTCTTAGCTTCAAAAAGAAACAACCCCATGCTTGAAAGATCACACAAGTTATTACTGGCTTTGTGGGCTGCAGATGGCGGCAAGACGAGCACAGAGGGTATGCATGCTAGTCCCTTGTTAAAAGGTGTCCAGGTTATGGGGGGTTCGTTCACTATTGAGGAGGACGGAAAGACCATTTCGGCTGAAGACTGTAGCAAGCTGTTGACAGATTATATCATTCAGGGACAAGCAATGACGATGGTACTAGGACTAGTTGATGAAGACGATAACTGGAATGGGCCCAGATATTCTGCTGAGAATGTGTATGCCATCGAATACATGGAAGGCTCGCAGCTCATCAACGAGTTCACGGCTTGGAATGGACAAAAGGCATTTCATTTGATGTCACTTCCAATTCCTCGTAGTGGGGAAGCAGAGAGCCCGGAGCAAATGCAGGCAAGAGAAATTGTCGAAGCTTGTTTGAAAAGGAGTTTTGGCTTCAAGCTCGCTCACGGTCTTATTATACGGGTACTTGGTGAGACGTTGGGGTCGCTGTGGAGAAAGCATGATGGATCAGATATAGTGCCTGGAACGTATGCAGATTGGTTGAGACATGGCATGACATATTGGACGCAAGATGAGCTTCCACCGAGAATGGATTTTCAAATCATGGAGCCAATTAAGAGAGGTTCTTTACTAGCAAGCATATAATGATTTAGATGAACATAATAGGAAAGTCATGATTGAATATAATATAGATATATAGATTGAAAGTAATATTATAACTATACTAGCTATAGTAAGCATTTGAGACTTACTATATATAAATAGATTCATTTTCTATAACAAGAGTAATAATCAGAGAAATGATTATATTAATTATGAATACAAGATTGTTTTTCATTTCTAATCAAAATTAACTTCTTAGTTCATCTAATATTTTTAATTCCTTAATTATTCAGATGAATTACTAGTCCTCGAGGAAAGATAATTTCATAGAATCTACATTATTTAAGGATTTTTTTTTTACTATATGAAATTTAAAAATTTAGAATTCGTAAAGCTATACATTCTTATTCCTAATAACTATTACTTACAATAAATAATATATATAAATATAAGTTATTATTAAAAATTTATCTCCTTAATAATCTTACTATTTATAAAAACCAAAGTACTATATAAGAGTTATCGAACTTACTTATTACACTTTATAAATTTTGTAATAAAATCCCTACAAAAATAATGTTTTTCTATACAAATTAAAAAAGGTAATAACTTTTTCAATTTAAAGAACTTTATTTTCAAAACTTTAAAATAAGTAATTAATACTATCTTTTATCAAGAAAAATTGATGTTTTATTTTTAATTATTTTTGTTTATGAATTATATAGACTTGAAATTAAAAAAATTGAAATTTTTTAACTTGTAATACTTTTCCTTTACAAAATAAGCGATTTTTTTAGAAACTTTATAATTTTTATCTTCAATAGCTTATAACTTTTTAAATATAATTAAATTAATTATTAATTGCCTTTGTATTTTTTAATCATTTTATATAAAGTTTTAATAAATAAACAGGGGTCTTAAAAGCTGAAAAATCTATGGTTTTAGCGGGGAAGTTAAAATCTATATGATGAGGAGGTTCTAGAACTCTTACATATAAAAAAGTTGATTTACTAAACCTAAAACTTAATTCAAATAATATAATTGAATTAAACCTCGATATATAATATTCTTAATGTTATAGTATTATGATTTAAAATAATTTTATTTAATGGAATCTGGTTAGATTATTTTATTAAAACTAATTTCAAATAAAATAAAATAAAGAGATAATCATATAAAATAACTAAAAGTTTTTTTTGGTTTGAGAAGGATACGGACGATGTAGTACCTACGTATTCGTAGATCCTAAATGTCTTTATTATATTCTGTCTTAAGAGCTAGCTAAGTATAGGAAGTTGTAGGCCTTATATAGACACTATAGAAAGAGCTAGTCTCTTTCGCATTCGCTTAGGGCTCGTAATATAGCAGCTAATGAATTAAATCTATTCACTAGATCCTAATGATTAGTATTCATACAGTTTCTAATTAATCTAATTTTTATAATACTAACTTTAATATTTGAATTTATATAATAAATTAAAATTAAAATCTTTTAAGAACTTTAAAGCTTATATAATTAATTAAAAAAGAAATATATTAAATATAATAGAATCTATACTAAAAGAATACTTAAAGCTTTCATAATATAATAATATAATTATTCTTTTGAAGAAAAAAATTGTAACTCATAAATATTATATTATAGAATATAAATAAAATAAAGTAATGAAATCAAGATTCTCAAAAAAATTAAAATCATGAAAATTATAAAAATTATTTCAATAATAAATCAACTTCGCCTATGAACATTCAATAAATTTCTCTTTCAATTTTTATATTAATAAAAATAATTATATAATACTTTCTCATGAAGCAAGGGGTTCGAGGGCTCGCAGGCCCCTGATAACTCTTAATATAATTCTAATTATAATATAATATATATAGAAGCTAATTCTTAAACCCTTGATTATATCTATTTAACATTTTAATTTTATAATATCTTTTGATTCATGAACTCATAACAAGTTAAACTATATATATTAAAGGCTTTTTATATAATTACTACGTGTTTTAATAATATTATTATTATATAATAGGTTTTTTATTTCTACTTCTTCTTTATTTACAAAAAACCTAAATTTTATATGATCAAAATATTTCTAATTGTTTAATTCCTTTTTACAGAATATTATAAAGAAATAATAGAGAAGTATAAGTACTTAATCTTCTTCTTTTTTTATATTAAATAATAATATTTTTAAGATAATATTAATAGTAGATATTACTACATAATATTATAATATAATTAAATATAATATCAAATACAAATATAATACTATCTTTTCATTTATATAAATATTTAATTCACTTATTATTAACTTCTTTATGATTATTAATAAAAGATTTAATTTCAAATTATCGAAATCGGTAATGAGTTATCTCTTTATATTCATCTTTATTAAAGCAATTACAATTCTAATTTTGAATGACTTTTATAATTAATACTTTATTAAAACGATTCTGCTTTTGAAAATCTAATCCTTTATAGATATTAAATATTTAGCTTGTATATTAATAATCATTAATGTTCAAATAACAATCTTTAAAACTGTAAGTATCTTATTAATTAGAATTATATCATCTTAATATATAATGAAACTTTCAAGTTTTTGAGATTTATTTTATATAGTTAAAATAATAGATTATTTATTGAATATAATTTTTAAATTCTATTTAACTGATGAAATTCTTTTACTTTTAAATAAAGTTTTATGAAAAATGTTAATAAAATTATATTCTTATCAATTTCTATTATTATATCTAAAATGATTAAATAGATA